GGGAGGGGAGGGGAGGAGAAGGGAGGGGAGGGGAGGGGGAGGGGAGGGGAGAAGACGGAAGGGGAGGAGTCGATCAATAATCATTACACAAACTTTCGTTATATCATGTACATAATCCTGTTCATGACTGGTAAACACGTTATGATTCCAACTCATTGCTTCTAGTACGACCAGCCATTAGTTCTGATCCAGACTGACTTCCCTGTTTCCATGCCGGCAGCATCCCAACCAGGTGATTGAACAACATTTCTGCTGCTCGCAGAGCTGGCGATTCGAGAACCGTCTCGAGGCTCTTTCCTGCAGTCAGCAGCGTCACGCACAGACAGGGAGGAGGATGGCAGTACTTGTGGCAGGATGCGAGAGCAAGGTGGGAGACAACCAAAACAGGAAGCGGAAGGGAAGGCTTTCAAGGCTAGCAAGAGCAGTGCTGTACACGATCCCCAGCGCCTGCTGGAGGTGTGAGCCGACTCTGAGGTGTGGGGGAGCGAAAGCACCTGGTTGACCACCAGTCGATCGTTGCCGGTCACGATGTAGCGAACTCTGGACAAGCCTCGCTCGATGCTGATGACGCGGGCGGTATCGAACGAGTCTGCAGCGAAAGAGTGAGGAGGAGGAGGGAGAGTTCACAGCAGGCATGGACGAGATACCTCCGTTCCTCCTCACTATCCCATGTCCTCGCTTCATCTCGTGGCCGTACATAAGACGGATGCCGCAGTTGTTCCTTCCTGTGCATGTTACCTCCGACGAGACTGCGTGCCAGTCTGCGATTGCGTCAGGGGTGGTGGAGGAGGACGAGGACGAGGAGGACGGGAAGGAGGAGGAGGAGGAGGACGAGGAGGAGGAGGAGGAGGAGGAAGGGTTCCTCCTGACCTGTCAGCTCCAACGTGGACACGAGGCCCTCGCTGGAGAGGAAGGAGATCTTGTTGGTCTCGACTTGGTCGGGATGGTCGTGCAAGAAGATCACGCGTGTGCTGTCCAGCTGCTTGACAGGGTCGAGTCACATCTAGTCACACCATCGCAAGCCTCCAGCACCTTCCCAGCATCGTTCATGGTCAAGATTGTGTCCCCCACTACAGGCGAGAGGTCAGGAGACGAGGGGACGGCAAGGCAGGGGGGGGATGACCTTGAAGCTCGGAGATCTTTCTGATCCTCAAACCCTCTGCCTCCACGGTATACACTTCACTGTGCGAGGCGAAACAGCCGGCGCTTTTCTGAACGCCCTTGGCCAGCTGCTGGCTGATGATGACGTCGGCGATGGTCTGAGAGCAGTCGATCCCAGTGTAGCTGAGAATCGATCAGCCATGAGGTGGACAAGAGAGGACGGAGGAGGAGCGAGGAGGAGCGAGGTGGACCAGGAAGGTTAGATAGGGGGAGGGGGCCACGTACGTGTCGGAGCAGACGCAGGTAGCGGAGACTTGATGAGGAGGGATATAGTTGGGGTTTCTAGATATACAGGGGCTTGGCGACTTTGACGTCTTGAAGGAACTTGTCAAAACTCTTGAAGGGAACGCGATCACAAGTACCTGAACACAGTCCGGCTCGTTTCCGCAGCATGGTCTGACAGAAACAAGTCAGTTTGACGCGTCTCAGCCTGATAACCTGCTCGTTGAGCTGCTCTTACGGGTTCCTGGTGATGACACACTCCCCCTGCGCCCCCGAGTCGTACCCATCGCTCCACGTGGTGCAGTTGTTGGGGCAGAAGGCAACGAAGCAGTCGGGCCCTCCAAAGTTTGGGTCGCAGTCGCACGTCCCTCCGAGCTTGCAGGTCCCGTGGCCCGAGCAGTTCCCTGACAACCCGAGTGAGACAGAGAAAACGAAACGAGATGAGATGAGGAGAGAGGAGAGGAGAGGAGAGGAGAGGAGAGGAGAGGAGAGGAGAGGAGAGGAGAGGAGAGGAGAGGAGAGGAGAGGAGAGGAGAGGAGAGGAGAGGAAGAGGAAGAGGAAGAGGAAGAGGAAGAGGAGGGGTGGGGAGAAAAGTAGTCGGGGCTGACCTGGGCAGCTGATGAGCTGACAAGACTCTCCGCCCCATCCCTGGTTGCACAAGCAGAACCCGCTCGTGTTGCAGAGACCACTGCAAAGCCTTCAGCACAAGAAGAAAGAAGAGCAAGGCACGAAGAGTAGAAGGGGGTACAAAGAGAGGAAGCAACTGAGGAAGGGAGGGCTCGTACTGGTTGTGACACTCGAGGCACGTCAGCCAGTGATCGGAGTAGCTGAACGAGCACTGAGCTTGTGGGCAGCTCAGCTCCGAGCAGTCCACGGCCTTGAAGCCCGCATCGCAGATACAGAACCCCCACTCGCACGTGCCATGCCCGTTGCAGTCGTTAGGGCAGGAGTTGGGGCCCGACACGTTGTACATCCACAGGTCCCCGCAGGTGGAGCCGGGGCAGGAGTCGCTGGTCCCCCCGTACAGGATGAGCCAGTCCTTGTGCAGGACGATGGCGTGATGGGCTCGGGCGCTCGGGAAGCCAGAGCTCCGCGAGAAGTTCACCTGACTGATAGTCTCGCTCGACACGTTGTAGATCCACATGTCCGGCAGGAACCCCGAGGGGTAGGCGATGTCTGTGGTGTCTCGATTCGCGCTCGTCCTCCCTCCATGGATGATGATCTGCCCTCGGCACCAGGGTGTCTGCTGGGGGTTACCTGGGTAGACATATCCCGGGACGGATCCAGTCACCCGGTTGAGCACGATAGTCCCGTCTAGCACGCCGAGTTCGATGTCATACCCCAAGGAGCAGACAGGCGAGAAGGCTGCGGCATGCCCGTACCTCCCGACAGGGAACGTGTTCTGAGGTTGCTGCTTCTTCATGCTCAGCCTGGACCAGGCAACTTGCTGTGTGGTCTGGTTGACATCAGGGAGGGTGCAAGTCCAGGTGTCGTCGAGGAAGTAAGGAGTCTCCTTCACCATCCCCCCGAACAGGAGGGCTGTGTGCTCGTTGTACATGGTGAGAGTGGCTGCGAACCTTCCGTAGGGATAGATGTCACTGTTGGGCAGGACCTGCGTCCATTTCTTCATCCCTTCCATGCTCTGCCATGCTTGCACCAGCGGGTGCCCCCAGATCTGAACTTCGGCAAGGGAGAGGTAGTTTGTGCCTGCTAGTTGTATCCTGACGTACCTCGCTGTGATGTCCAGATCAAGAGACTGCAGATCTTGAACGTACATGACATGCGTCTTGAATACAAGAGGGTCTATCAGAATGTCTCGCAGCCAATCTGACTGGAACGGGACCGTTGCAAACAGCACGTAAAAGTTCTGGAGCCTTTCCGAGAAGGCGTCGAGTCGGTTGTAGATGGTCATGTTCCGTATGATGTAGCTCTGCCCGAGGTCGACCTGCCACCAGGCCTCGTCGTCGCTGTTTGTCAGCGTGACTGAGTTCGCCCACGTGTCCGAGTAGTACCCGCTCGTGTTCCCGTCCACTGCCAGCGCTGCGACTCCTGTCCCGAGGGTGCTGGACTGAGTCGCGTGCTTGTTGAGCGAGATGAGAGTCTGGAACGGCTCGTACTTGAGCGTGTCCGCCGACCACATGTCATGCAGGAACCCGCACCCTGAGCTGGGAAAGATCGGGACGAGGTTGTTGGGTGCACCACACACGACCCAGTCGTAACCGCAACAGGCGTCGAAGGTGCCGTTCTTGAAGCCCCCGAAGACGAAGAGGAAGTTGTTTGACAGCACTGCGTTGTGCCCGAATCTCTTCGACGGATGCTGCTGCCCGTACGCCGCGTAGTCCCACATTCTCTGCCACGTCCGGTCTTGGCCCCACCACTCCCCGTACAGCATGTACCAGTGGTTCGCCATGATGTCGTAGTACCACAGATCGTCGCAGTAGTCTGTGCAGTTCGGAGATAGACCCCCGTACACTACCTAGTGCCCTCCATCAGCTCCCCCTCCTCTCCGTCCATCAGCCCTGCCCCCCCCCCCACCCTACCCCTCCCCGCCCCGTCCCTCCCGTCCTCCTCCTCCTCCTCCC